ACCACTCCAACACTATTCCACCCCTGCTTTTAATTTTTCATGATCCCATCAGTTCCAGCTGCTTTACCCCTTTCATTTTACGTAATGCCTGCACGTACCTCCCCCACTTACATTCTGCTCTTCTTCATCCTAAAGATGGTTACCCTACCCTGACCAGTGCATGAAATTTGCCTACTGTTTCTCCTTAACATTTAAAAGTTCCTCAAAATTCTCGCCGGTTCCAGTACCTATCTTCCATAACAACACCCAAACTCTGTTTTTAATGACGAAATCATATTTACCCTAGGCATCTTAATTGGTTTAAACTCGCCAAATTTTTCTACATTAAAGTTCTGGAAAGTCCCGTATCCCGGTTTTTATCATCTGCATCCTTTTGCAACTCTTTCACAAACTGTCTATACCTTTTTATTCGATAACTCTGCCTCTTAAAAACGGTCCTTTTAAAAAATCTCATAAGCTACATTTCTCTTCTATCACACCCTAACTTATCATTACACCAATCACTCCTCTTTCCTACTGCACCTCCTAAAACCCACAAACTTCTGCCACAGAAATATATGCATTTAAAACATCCAACCTTCAACCCCACTCTCCTTGTAACATAGCCAACCTTTTGCCATATCGTTCACTACCTCATCCCGAAATTTCCTACATTAGTAAAAACACTTAAAATCCTCTTTACTTGTAATTGCAGCCTTTTTCAAATTTTAAACTTTACATCTAAAATTGTAGCTAAACTAAATAATGATCCGATATACAGTTGCCCCTCTATACATGACATCCTGGAGCCTACCATCCAACTTTGATACAATTTACTATCTAATATCTTTTCTATTAGTGCTCATCTACTTGTATATTATTTATCCTCTTTTTTATAAGTAGTTCATTTCATAACCAATCTTTGTTCTGACACAAGCATTAATTACTGAAATTGTACAGTGGACCCTTGTTTTTCGTAAGGCTCGAAAATCGTAATTTTTCAGAAATTGTAACATTTTTTCATCAAAACATTGACTCGCAAATAGTTGTTTGTCTGGGACGCGTACGCACGGCCCCAGGCAAGCACCAGACAAGCCTGGCCCATGGTTGGGCTGAGAGAGTAGATAGACTCTCGAAACTCTTCAAAGGTAAGGTATACCTCTTCAAAGGTACTCCATTCTCAGCCAGTGTGCCATTGTTTATCAGTGAGTGAGGATGATCCCACGAGTTTATGCGATACGTTTCATAATATTCCATTCGTTTTAGTGCTTGCAACTGCTAAATAAGTCACCATGGCTCCAAAGAAAGCTTCTAGTGCCAGCCCTTTGGTAAAGAATGTGAGAAACACATATAATTTCAGAAAAAGTTCGTAGAAAAATACGAAAATGGTGGTGGTAGAGTGGTAGCAGTTGTGATGGTGGTAGAGGGTGGTAGCAGTTGTGATTGTGGTAAATGGTGGTAGTGATGGTGGTAGAGGGTGGTAGTGGACATCTTAGTGGTAGAGGGTGGTAATGATGATGATAGAAGGTGGTAGTGATGGTGGTAGCAGTTGTGATAGTGGTAGAGGGTGGTAGTTGTTGTGATGGTGACCGCCGCCTCAGCTGCTGCTTCACCAACATTATGGACGGCTTATGCTCTCAATGGCCCTTACACACCCAACAACAACAACAACAACACAACACCTCTTGTGGCATTCATAATGACTTACTTTATTCATTCTAGAGTATATTCCATTATTCATTCTAGAGTATATTCCATGTTTCTATATTATTAATATTGTTTATTATGTCATATTAGTTGAATTGTGATAGATAAATAAGTCGTAGAGTTGACATTAGTAGATTATATTCTCCAACAATAAACTCGCCTCCCCTCCCTCTGCCCAGTCTGCCATACACCAACAAGTCTTCAGTGAAGGTAAGTGTGATGTTAAATGTTCATTTATACATTTTATTAGTGCTTTACATTTATTTGGCATTCTTTTCTGCATGTAAATCTATATTTAAGCTAGGGAAGCGACACCTGAAGTGACCTAGAGTCTTTATGGAGGGGGATTCCCCTTCCAAACAATAACCTCTCTTCCCTCTCTCCTCCTCCCTGTCTTCCATTCATCAATAACAGCTTTGAATAAAGGTAACTGTCATGTTGAATGTTCATTCTTTTGTGCATGTAAATCTATGTTTAAGGTAAAAAAATTTTTTTTTTGTTGATACTTCTGGGTGTCTGGAACGAATTACTGTAATTGGTTTTACATTATTTCTTATGGGGAAAACGGATTCGCAAGTCGTCAATTTTGATAATAGTCACCACTGTGGAATGGATTAATTATGAAAAACGAGGGTCCACTGTACTTAAATTGTCACATACAGTGACAGGTGGACATTTACACAAGCTGCTGCTGCTACCGACGCTGCCACTGCCACTGCCACCGCCGCTGCCACTGCCACCGCCGCCCTTTCTCCCTCCCTCCCTCCCTCCCTCGTATAAATGTCCACCTGTCACTGTGTTTGTGACAATTTAAGTACAGTGGACCCTCATTTTTTGTAATTAATCCATTCCACAGTGTGTGACTATTATCAAAATTGACGACTTGCGAATCCATTTTCCCCAAAAGAAATACGTAATGTAAATCCAATTAATTCGTTCCAGACACCCAGAAGTATCAAAAAAAAAAATTTTTTTTTTACCTTAAACATAGATTTACATGCACAAAAGAATGAACATTCAACATGACAGTTACCTTTATTCAAAGCTGTTATTGATGAATGGAAGACAGTGAGGAGGAGAGAGGTTATTGTTTGGAAGGGGAATCCCCCTCCATAAGGACTCGAGGTCACTTCAAGCGTCACTTCCCCCTCCATAAGTAGCAGCAGCAGCTGCTGCTGCAGAAGAAGAAGAAGAAGAAGAAGAAGAAGAAAAAAAGATGATGATGATTTCCCTTGAAGCACGAAAACAGTCCACCCCTGAGAGTGACTTGATAAGATAAAATAACATTTGATAAGAGCTGACATTTGATGAGCATTCTTGAGGGTACAGTGATAAGACTTGATAAGAGATTAGAGGTGACATTTGATGAGCATTGGCTCTCACTTCGTTTTCACTGTATATCAAGCTCCCTGTCTATCTGTCTATCCATCTAGCTCCCTGTCTCAAGAGAGAGCCACAAGACTGCTTCATCACATTTGCTCACATCTTCAAGCAGAGTATAGCACTTCGTCTGAATTTTTTGGGTTATCCTAGGTAATTTACACTATGTATACTTGGATTTGTGTGTACCTGTGAGACAGAGATAGACATATTGAAAGAGATGGACAGAGACAGACAGACAGACAGGGATAGACATAGACACAGACAAACAAACGGAGTCAGGCAGCCGGCCAGCCAGCCAATCAGCCAGCCTGTTGAACAAGTATTACGTTCCAGAATTGTTTCTCTTTACTTAGGGCATAGGTTATAAAACATTCCGAAAGGGTGTTGCGCAAATGTTGCACATGGGTTATTATCGAGGTTTTTTGATATTTCCTCGACCACTTTTGGCCACATCCACCTCAAAGCCACTAAACTCGAGGTCATTATCACTTTACTCTTAAAATGGGAGAGTTAATACTACATGACATCAGTGAATCCCAGGTGTTTGCTGTGCTGTTTGCTCTAGCAGGTGCTCATTTGAACTGGTGTTCCCACAAGGTACTAAGTGATCCCAGATTTTTTTAATACAGTGCACGCTGAGTGTTATAACCCATTCTATGCTGACACGGCATCTCAGGCCAATCGTGCCATATTTGAAGGCAGGAAAATAAAACTATATACGTTTGGGCACTAGCAGTAAGAATGTATATATACGTTTGGACTGTTTATGGGTTAACATCACTCTTACCATTATTGAAGATGCTTGTTGGAGTATGGACGGCGAAGAGGGGAGAGGGAGGAGTAGCAGAGGTTATTATTTGCATGGGGAATCCCCCTCCATAAGGACTTCAGGTATCAAAGCCCTATCTGGGGTTACTTTCTTTGTCTTTTACTGGCACTGGACCCCTGTTGCACTAAAAATCTGTCCAGAGAGCTCTATTTCTGGCATCACTTTAAGATTTGCCTAAAATGGGACAAGGTATTGTTATTGAACATGTTGCAGATACAGCTTGTATCAGCTTGGTCAGGGTGATATTTTACCACAAAAGTTTGCACCTCGTTCCACTTTGCACAAATGTTCTTAATCACCCCTCTCGCAACATCAGCTTCCTTGATTTCTACTTTCTTTGCCTGGATGGGACTGATTGTTGATTTGGACTTGTCATATGTCCTGGCGAGCTCGGCCACACATATGCAACTTTTGTATTTTTCTACAATCTCTTTCTTGAATTCTATCATGTTTCTCACCTTCTTTACCAAAGGGCTAGCACTAAGAACTTTCTTTGGGCCCATGGTGGCTTATTTCACAGTTGCAACAATGGATTATTACGAAATGCTTCGGATGAATGCTCACTCAACCAGTGATAGAGCCAGACTGAGACATGTATGCATGAGTGGCGGCATCCCGGGTGGGCAGATGCATCTGATACGGGCGATTTCTGGGACAAAATATGAAAATCGGAGCAAAATTTCACTGAAAAAAGTGGTCGAAATCCGAATCATACGATATCTGGTGCGGACGAAATCCGGGGTTCCACTGTATTGTAAAACTTCTACAGTTGCTTTATTTTTCTTGTGAAAAATATAGATAAATGAATTTTGAAACAAGTACTAGTCCATGGGTAGACAGAAGTGATATATTGAGTAAGGTGTCAGGTTGGATAGTCCAATTCTAGGGCCTGAGTCTTGGTTTGGAATAACTTCAAAACATACCTTAACAAGCCTGAATCACTGTGAATGCAGCAAGCATTTAAGAGTAATTCTTGTAATTCTCTTCCATTTCTCCTTTGTTTCATCTCTCATCAGGATGCTCTCTCTTACTCATCCCTTCAATTTCAGAAGACATCATTGCTACACAACAGATTATTCACTATGATTGTTATTCTTTTTAGGGACGATCCGAGGAAGCTGAGGCAGAGGCAAGTAAAGAGCGCAAGTTACGAGAACGTTCAGAGGAATACACACGGAATATAGAGGGAGAATTAGAGAAGATGCAACAAAGACCACAAGGCAGAAGTCCGTCTCTTAACTCTATTGAAGCATCACAAGAAGTAACAAGGTGAATGAATCACTTAAATCTGTCTTCTGTCTGACTACAATTCTTTTATTTCTTTTTCTTTTTAACACACTGGCTGTCTCTTACCGAGGTAAGGTGACCTGAAAAAGAAGAAACACTTTCACCATCACTCACTCCATTGCTGTCTTGCCAGAGGTGCACTGACATTATGGCTTAGATGCCCCTCCAAATTGCAATATCCCTACCCCTCCTTCAGAGTGAAGGCACTGTACTTGCCAATGGGTAACCAGTTTACCCTGAAACCCTTAAAAATGTTACCTTGCTCACATTCCAACAGCACATTAACTTACAAAATCCACCTAACCCTACTCACATCTAATACACTTGCACATAACTGTTGGATGTCCAAGCACCCTCACATACAAAACCTCCTTTATCCCCTCCCTCCAACCTTTCCTAGGACGACCCCTACCCCTCCTTCTTTCAACTACGGATTTTGTTCCATCCTCTCTAAATATATACAAACAACCTCATATTATTTCTTACTTGAATTAATATTGTGTCTCATTTTCAATGTTTAGTTTTGCATATAATTTTTTTTAATATTTCTGCTGACTATCACACAACTTGTCTTATTTTTATTTCATTGGTCATTGAAGAAATATTTTCTGTCTTGTCTGGTACTTTGATACCAAAATGAGAGACAAAGTTCAGGGAAACAAATTCTCACTTTTTTTAAGGAGGGAAGATGGGATGTGTGGATGTGACCTTGACCTTACTAGGTTGGGTTAGTGGCTTAAAGCCGGTAGGTAACTTGGACCTGCCTCGCATGGGTCAGTTGGCCTGTTGCAGTGTTCCTTCTTTCTTATGTTTTTCCCTTTTCATCTTTGATCTCATGATTTCCTCTCTGGTAGTAAGTTGTTGTTGGAAGGTTACATTTCTATGAGTGAGCACCAGATTACAATGTTTGTGCCCTTCTGGAGAGGCAGCAAAGGTGCAAGTAATGGTGAAAGTTTTCTTATTTAGGTGGGAGTATGAGATTATATTTTTTGTATTAACACATTTGTCATTTTTCACTGAGCAAGGCAATCTGATTAAGAAGATGCACTTTCTATAAAGTTTTTCTTCTTTTTAGTAATTTATTCAGGAGAAGGGGTTACTAGCAGTGGCGGATCATCCATAGGAGCTGCATAGCTGCATTCTTCCCAGATACTCACTGCCAGACGTATGACTTCATCAACCTTAGGCTAAAATAATATGCAACTGACACACATATTACAGGAATAATCTGTTGTACATTGTTTTCAATGTACAGTGGAACCTCTGCTTACGAGTTAATCCGTTCCCTCACCTTGCTTGCATCTGGATTTGCTCATTTGCAGAGTCAGTTTTCCTCATTTAAATTAATTGAAATACAGTTAATCCGTTTCGGCTGTCGAGAGGCACGACAAGTTAGTAATAGTATAATTATACAATATTTTACAGTATCGTGAGCTCATACCCCCACACCCCCTGGGGGACTATGAGTTACTGAGACTGCTCCGGCCTTCTCCCTATTTTCGTAAAGCTCCTCCCAGTGGGGGTGGTTGCTAGTGGTGGTAGTGGAGGTGGTTGCTGGTGGTAATAGTGGAGGTCATTGCTAGTGGAGGAGAAGGTGGTTGCTAGTGATAGCTCTGCCCAGTGGGTGGAGCTTTACAAAAATAGGGAGAAGGCACGAGCAGTCTCAGTAACTCATAGTTCACCATGGCGTATTGAGGTATGAGCTCATGACACTTTAAAATATTGTATAATTATACTATTACTATCAATAAAGGTTATCTAACTATCATATTTATTCCAGAATAATATTAGGTATTATTAGGTATTAGGTATTATTGGTAGACAGCAACCACCCAGGGAAGTACTACCGTCCTGCCAGATGACTGTGAAACAGAAACCTGTAACTGTTTTGCATGATGGTAGGATTGCTGGTGTCTTTTTCTGTCTCATAAACACGCTAGATAACAGGGATATCTTGCTACTCCAACTTACACTTTGGTCACACTTCACAGACATGCACATGCATATATATATATACATACATCTAGGTTTTTCTCCTTTTTCTACATAGCTCTTGTTCTTCTTTATTTCTTCTATTGTCCATGGGGAAGTGGAAAAGAATCTTTCCTCCGTAAGCCATGCGTGTCGTATGAGGCGACTAAAATGCCGGGAGCAATGGGCTAGTAACCCCTTCTCCTGTAGACATTTACTAAAAAAGAGAAGAAGAAAAACTCTATAAAACTGGGATGCTTGAATGTGCGTGGATGTAGTGCAGATGACAAGAAACAGATGATTGCTGATGTTAGAATGAAAAGAAGTTGGATGTCCTGGCCCTAAGCGAAACAAAGCTGAAGGGGGTAGGGGAGTTTCGGTGGGGGGAAATAAATGGGATTAAATCTGGAGTATCTGAGAGAGTTAGAGCAAAGGAAGGGGTAGCAGTAATGTTGAATGATCAGTTATGGAAGGAGAAAAGAGAATATGAATGTGTAAATGCAAGAATTATGTGGATTAAAGTAAAGGTTGGATGCGAGGAGTGGGTCATAATAAGCGTGTATGCACCTGGAGAAGAGAGGAATGCAGAGGAGAGAGAGAGATTTTTTTGGGGATGTAAGTGAATGTATAGGAGCCTTTGAAACAAGTGAGAGAGTAAATTTTGGTAGGGGAAACCCGAGTGCTAAAGTAGGAGAAACTTTTAGAGAGGGTGTGGTAGGTAAGTTTGGGGTGCCAGGTGTAAATGATAATGGGAGCCCTTTTGTTGAACTTTGATAGAAAGGGGTTTTAGTTATGGGGAAACAATCTTAAAAAAAAGAGGATAAATAAGTAACAAGATTGATGAGGGCAAATGACAGTAGTTTGTTGGATTATGATTGTAAAAAAAGACTGTTGAGTGATTGGGATGTACATGTTTATAGGGGGCCACAGATAATCAGACATTTTCTAGTTGTAGCTACACTGAGTTAAAAAGGGTTTGGATAAAGGAAATAGAAGCACAGGGAAGGAGATTTAAAAGGTTTATAAACAAAAGAGGAGCAGTTAGGGAAAGAATAAAACAGCTATTGGGGGATAGAGGGTAATGAGAGCATAGGCAAGGGGGTCAAAGAGGTAGGGTAGGTTAAAAATGTAGTGTTAAGTGTTCAGCAAAAAGTTTGTGGTTACGGGAAAGGGGGTGCGGGGGGGAAAAGAGGAGCGTTGGTGAAGATATGTAAAAAGTAGTAAGAGAGAAAAAAGTTCTAGAATTTTTTAAACAAAGTAGAAGTGATCAAGGAGGGAAGAGATATGGAAAAAAAGGAGAGGTTAAAAGGGGTGAAGAATGTAAAAAGAGAGCAAATGAGAGAGGGGGTGAGATGTTATAACGTTTTTGGTTAAAAATAAAAAAAGTTTTGGAGGAGATTAACAAGTTAAGGGGAAACCTTGAGAACAAATGGATTTGTCAGTTAAAAATGGGAGAGGAGAGTTATTAAATGGAGAGTTAGAGGTATTGGGAAGATGGAGGAATATTTTGAGATTGTTAAATGTTGATGAAGATAGGAAGCTGTGATTTCGTGTATAGGGCAAGGCGGAATAACATCTTGTAGGATTGAGGAAGAGCCAGTTGTGAGTGTGGGGAAGTTCGTGAGGCAGTAGGTAAATGAAAGGGGTAAGGCAACCGGGATTGATGGGATAAAGATAGAAATTTTAAACACAGGTGGGGATATAGTTTTGGAGTGGTTGGTGCAATATTATAAATGTATGGAAGAGGGTAAGGTACCTAGGGATTGGCAGAGAGAAATGCATAGTTCCTTGTATAAAGGCAAAGGGGACAAAAAGAGAGTGCAAAAACAATATAGGGGATAAGTCTGTTTGAGTTACCTGGTAAAGTGTAGGGTAGAGTTATTGTTGAAAAAAATTAAAAGTAAGACTGAGAATAGGATAGCAGATGAACAAGGAGGCTTTAGGAAAGGTAGGGGGTGTGTGGACCAGGTGTTTACAGTGAAACATATAATATTATTTTTTTATTATCACACTGGCCGATTCCCACCAAGGCAGGGTGGCCCGAAAAAGAAAAACTTTCACCATCATTCACTCCATCACTGTCTTGCCAGAAGGGTGCTTTACACTACAGTTTTTAAACTGGAACATTAACACCCCTCCTTCAGAGTGCAGGCACTGTACTTCCCATCTCCAGGACTCATGTCCGGCCTGCCGGTTTCCCTGAATCCCTTCATAAATGTTACTTTGCTCACACTCCAACAGCACGTCAAGTATTAAAAACCATTTGTCTCCATTCACTCCTATCAAACAAGCTCATGCATGCCTGCTGGAACAGTGAACAGTATTTAGATTAGGCTAAAGAGGTCTTTGTGGCATTTATGGATTTGGAAAAGGCGTATGACAGGGTGGATAGGGGGGCACTGTGGCAGATGTTCCAAGTGTATGGTGTAGGAGGTAGTTCACTGAAAGCAGTGAAGAGTTTTTACGAGGATAGTGAGGCTCAAGTTAGAGTACATAGGAAAGAGGGAAATTATTTCCCAGTAAAAGTAGGCCTTAGACAAGGATGTGTGATGTCACCGTGGTTGTTTAATATATTTATAGATGGGGTTGTAAGAGAAGTAAATGCGAGGGTCTTGACAAGAGGCGTGGAGTTAAAAGATAAAGAATCACACATAAAGTGGGAGTTGTCACAGTTGCTCTTTGCTGATGACATTGTGCTCTTGGGAGATTCTGAAGAGAAGTTGCAGAGATTGGTGGATGAATTTGGTAGGGTGTGCAAAAGAAGAAAATTAAAAGTGAATACAGGAAAGAGTAAGGTTATGAGGATAACAAAAAATTAGGTGATGGAAGATTGGATATCAGATTGGAGGGAGAGAGTATGGAGGAGGTAAATGTATTCAGATATTTGGGAGTGGACGTGTCAGCGGATAGGTCTATGAAGGATGAGGTGAATCATAGAATTGATGAGGGGAAAAGGGTGAGTGGTGCACTTAGGAGTCTGTGGAGACAAAGAACTTTGTCCTTGGAGGCAAAGAGGGGAATGTATGAGAGTATAGTTTTACCAACACTCTTATATGGGTGTGAAGCATGGGTGTGAATGTTGCAGCGAGGAGAAGGTGGAGGCAGTGGAGATGTCATGTCTGAGGGCAATGTGTGGTGTGAATATAATGCAGAGAATTCGTAGTTTGGAAGTTAGGAGGAGGTGCGGGATTACCAAAACTGTCTTCCAGAGGGCTGAGGAAGGGTTGTTGAGGTGGTTCGGACATGTAGAGAGAATGGAGCGAAACAGAATGACTTCAAGAGTGTATCAGTCTGTAGTGGAAGGAAGGCGGGGGTAGGGGTCGGCCTAGGAAGGTTGGAGGGAGGGGGTAAGGAGGTTTTGTGTGTGAGGGGCTTGGACTTCCAGCAGGCGTGCGTGAGCGTGTTTGATAGGAGTGAGTGGAGACGAATGGTTTTTAATACTTGACATGCTGTTGGAGTGTGAGCAAAGTAACATTTATGAAGGGGTTCAGGGAAACCGGCAGGCCAGACTTGAGTCCTGGAGATGGGAAGTACAGTGCCTGCACTCTGAAGGAGGGGTGTTAATGTTGCAGTTTAAAAACTGTAGTGTAAAGCACCCTTCTGGCAAGACAGTGATGGAGTGAATGATGGTGAAAGTTTTTCTTTTTCGGGCCACCCTGCCTTGGTGGGAATCGGCCAGTGTGATAATA